TGAATTTCTGAATTTCGGACTTTCTGAATTTCTGAATTTCTGAGTTTCTGGATTTATGATTTTCGGAAAATCAGAATTTCAAATTTGACTTTTCGACTTTTTGAATTTTTCAAGATTCCCCTCCCGAATATTTCACAATTGTATCTTTTTTTTTTTGCTTTTTTAAATGACGATTTTGTAGTTTGTAGTCTAGCAGACCAACGTCATGCTTGTTTGGGTTTGCTAGACTATAAACTACACCTTCTCATCAGCAGACAACTTTTCACTGGTCTGCTATCTATATTTTGTAGTTTGTTGTTTGGAAAAATTTTAGGAGCCCAATTCTTCTAAAAATTTATCTTCTTCCAGAAGAGACAAGAGCCCCATTCTAAGCTATTTTTTCCAGACCTTTTTCTTTTCCCTCTCTCATTTCCCCATACTCTCTCACTTCTTTCATTCCATGTTTTGTCTGTGTCATTCAAGGATTTTCAGCTGCTTTTCAGAATTTTTTTCATTTTTTGTGTTGTCGAAAGATAAAATCGATGACCTAGAAATCCCAAATTTCTCATTTTCTAGGCCATGAGTGCATTTGAATGTCAGAAATGTGAAAATGAAGAGAACGAGGAAGAAGAAGAGGAGGAGGATCAGTGTCCTACAGTAATACGAAGGGTACGGTTTTGTAGTTTGTAGTGTCTTTAGCAGACCAAAATTTCAAATTTTCAGTCCTACTCTGCCGATTGGCTGCACAACGATGACTCTTCTGGAGCCGACGAGGATTCTGAAGAGGATTCAGATGCCGAGTTTCTGGTTCATCCTTGCTTGAGAAGTATTATCAAATCGAAATCCGCTTATGCGGTTCCCAGAAGTCGCGGAGATGACTTGGCATTGGCCAAAAATAGCAGTATTAAGCCAAGCAAAACAAGCTTTGAGGTAGGTGATAAGGATTGGTCTGCTAGACTACAAACTACATATAATTGGATTTACCGTAAACACTGCGACCCGAACAAAGCGTCAACTTTGAGCTTATATATCTCGGTTGCTGTAAAAGATATCAAAAAGTAGTCAACTGATAAAATGTTGTTCGTAATGTGTGAAATATTTTATCAGTCGACTTGTTTTTGATATCTCTCACAGAAAATGAGATATATAAGCTCAAAGTTAACACAATGGGTTGGGCACTCTGTTAGAGTGCTTACCATAGTTGATTTGAGCCGTTTTTCTAGCAGAACAAGACAGAAAGATTGACATCTTGGAATTTTGTAGTTTATAGTCTATCAGACCAACTCAGGCTCTTACTTTCAGATCTCCCTCTCCAGAATGATCGAATCCACCAGTAAAAGTATTGCACAGGAAATTGAATATTCTGTAGCCGATCTTCTGCCGACCCTAGATGAAACGTGGCCGGATCCAGAAGAAGACGAAGAGGAGACGAGGAAAAAGAGGAAGAAATCGAATGTAATGAGGTACGGTAGTTTGTAGTTTGTAGTCTGTAGGAGACAAACGCACACGTGAAGCGTTTAAAGTTGGGAAGCCCTGTGCTTGGCGACATTAAGTAGGCTTTCTTCAAAAACGCATATCTCTGAAACTAAGAAAGTTAGACATTTTTTGTTAACTGAAAAAATTTTTAAAAAAATTTTTTACATATTTTCGATGTTGACACCTTTTTTCTAGCTACAGTATTTTTTGAGATATGCGTTTTTAAGTTGGCGCACACCCTCTCAGTTGGCGCACACCCTCTCGTGGCGCCAAGGTAACTAAACGGCCGATCACTGGTTTGGGTCTGATAATGTTCTTTCTGTAGTTTGTAGTCTAGCAGACCCATGGATTTTCAGATACTCTCCAAGTCTCTCATCTGATCTCTCGCTAAATCTCAAAGGGAAAGAAGACGATGAAGATGAAGAGGTCAAAAATGAGCACCGCCCATGTTGGTCGTCCCCACCGAACTTCTTCGACGACAGCTTCAGAAGCGTGTCTCCTTTGAATCGTAACACTTATTTTGAAATTTTAGAAATCTAAAACTTGAAATTTTCAGAAAAATGCTGGTCAGCTCCAGATCTAGAAGACGTCAAATTCCCAGCCCTAGAAGAGCCTCCGACAATTCCTTCGATTCCAATTTTGAAGGAATTAATCGATGAATCGTGCCTGGGATATCCCGTGATAGAGACTCCAGATAATGGTAAGAATCGTAGTTTGTAGTTTGTACTCAAATACAAACTACAAGACCTCGGTTTTTTTCTCGGTTTTCCTTTTCCTTGTGCCATTCTTTCTAGAATTTTTAAAAATTTTGAAAATTTCGAAATTTGGCATCACCTCATGCACCATCCCCGATCCCTATACTTTTTCAGACCCATCCGTTTGCTCATACCGTCTACCATCATCGCTTGGCTCCGCCCCCTCACCCAGTCCACCCCGCCCACTTTCACCGGTTTTCGGACGTCCCGCACCCCCACAATGTGAACGATTTTTTTTTGTTTTCTTCCTTCAGAGTTTATAGTTTGTAGTCTAAAATGCAAACTACAGACTACAAAACATTTTGGTTGATTTTTTGGTTTTTGGGCACTTTCGGAATTTCCAGAATTTCCAGAATTTCCAGAATTTCCAAAATTTCTAGAATTCTAGAATTTTAGAATTTTAGAATTTTTCGAAGTTTTGGAAACTTTAGAATTTTTTTAATTTTTGAAATTTGTGTCTGCAAATTCAGTTATTGTAGTTTGTAGTCAACCAGGCCAACGCTTCCGTAAGGAGCCGACCAGAGCTTTGGGTCTGCTAATGCGTACTCTCTAGTTTGTAGCCTAACAGACCAACGGCAGTGTGAAGAGGGAATCAGTAGTTTAGGCATGCTAATGTTTGTTTTGTAGTTTGTAGTTTAGCAGACCTACGCTCACGTTAGGCGCCAGCCATAACTTTGGGTCTGCTAATGTTTACTTTGTAGCTTGAAGTCTAGCAGACCAAAACTCTCCGAACTTCCAGACCGCATCCATCTCTCCCAATCAATGCAACTGCCACGTCGACCCGATATCGAGGCATTTTTGGCAGATTGCCAAAATGACTACACGCAAGCTCCGCCCACTTTTAATATTGGATCAGAAGAAGAAGAAGATGATGATGATGACGTGGCTGGAATCATCACTGAAGAAGATGAAGATGATTTTTATGATGACGACGATGATGAAGACGACGAGGAGGATGTTAAGAAAACTGAAGAGGTACTACAAACTAAAAAGACTACAAAAACTACAAAAACCACACAAAAAAGTTTTCAGGTCTGGCCCGAGAGAACCGTCGCTAGCTTTGGCTGGTCTGATGGCGTCCAACGGGCTGTTCACAGATCTGCCACGTTTCAAATCAATCGATATCTTGAAGAGAATACGGTATCCCCACCGCCAGTGAGGATTACTGTATCTCGATCCGCCCACTCCCAGCTTTACAATTTGGGAGCCGATGAGACAGAGGACGATGCTGAAAATGAAAATGATGACGTGGCTAATTCAGAAAATATGAATGGAGGAGAGAATTGCAGCTCTGGAGTGTCACAGTTGGATGAGACGGAGTGGTTGGTGTGGAATTTTCAGTTTCAGAAGTTGTAGTTTGTAGTCTAGCAGACCTTCCCGATACAATAAGTATGCTATCTTTAAAGGTGCATATCTCCGAAACTAAAAAAGCTAAAAATTTTGTGTCAATTAAGAAAATGTTTAAAATAATTTTTTGCATATTTTCAATGTTGACAACTTTTTTCTAGCTTCAGTAGTTTTTGAGATATGCACTTTTAAAGGTCGGTGCCAAGGTAACTAAAACGCCGACCACTGGTTTGGGCCTGCTAACTCTTACTTTTGTAGTTTGTAGTCTAGCAGACCCAAGTTTATCTTTTTTTTTCCGCTTGCCTTGTTTTGCCTGGTCACTAGACGCAAAATTTTCTGATTTTGCTGGTTGCCATAACAATTTTTTTTCGTTCAAATAACTGGAAAATTTATTTATTTTCCCAAAAAAAATGTTCCTGGTTGTGTGTTTTTTTCACTTTAAACCTGGAATTTTTTTGAAAAATCGTATTTGAATTTGCAAAAAAACCTGGAAAAATCTAAAATTGCTCAAAATTTGATAACTTTCTGAAGACAAAAAATTCAGAATTTGAAAAAAGTCAATCTGGTTATTAGAAATTTACGATTATATTTTTTAAAAAAATATCTGATTGTCTAGACATTTCAATTTTTTCAGTTCAGAAAAATTTTTTAAATGTCTGACTCGTAAAATTTTTAATAATCTGGATTTTTTAAAGTCTGAAATATAGAATTTCTGAATATCTGAATTTAATTTTAGAGATTCAGAATTTTGAGAATTTTGAGAATTTTCGGAATTTTTGGAATTTTCGGAAAATTGGAAGCAAAAACTGAATTTCTGAATTTCCGAAATTCTGAATTTCTGAATTTCTGAATTTCTGAATTTCTGAATTTCTGAATTTCTGAATTTCTGAATTTCTGAATTTCTGAATTTCTGAATTTCTGAATTTCTGAATTTCTGAATTTCTGAATTTCTGAATTTCCGAATCTCTGAATTTCTGAATTTCTAAATTTCTAAATTTCTGAATTTCTGAATTTCTGAATTTCTGAATTTCTGAATTTTTACACTTCTGAATTTTGGAATTCTCTTACCTAATCGTATCAATAGGGCTTTGCGATGAGAAGGAACCTGAAAATCGATAAGAAGGAACCTGAAATTCCATGGAACAATTAAGATTTGAAACTCAACAATGTCAAAAAAGCAATCTAAACCATCGAAAAACTTATTTTTTGAGTATTTTTCATCTAAAAGTCCGGATAGCCGAGTGGGATTTTTCATTAAAATCTACCAACCTGAAGGTTGCGGGTTCGAACCCCACCGATGGAATTTTTTTGGTATTTGTGTAATTCAGAATTTATAAATTTCTCTGAAACTTTCGAAAATCCAAAAAACCCAATTCCCACTATTTTCAATGTAATCCTATATCTCTAATTTTTCTGGGGGCGCCACTCTCCCAGCTGTTCAGCTTCATTTATTTATTTCTATTTACTATATATTTTTCGTACTACACCCTCCCGCCCCATAACAATTTTTAGTGCTCCTCCTCTCCTTTTCCATCTCTTGAGTATTTTTTAATCAAAAAATAAAAGTATGGAGAGAGAGAGAGAGAGAGAGAGAGAGAGAGAGAGAGAGAGAGAGTGAAGATATGTGAAAAACCCGGCTCACACAACTTTTGCTCTCCCTCTCTCCTTATTTGGCCTTGTTGTTTTTTTGTCTCCTTGACGTCTGACACTACTCTCCCTATTTTTTTCTTTTTTGTTCATCTGTGCTGAGCTCTCTAATATATTCATTGAAGCTCTTTTGAGACAAAAGTAGTGGGGGCGAACATGAAAACTTTTTTTTTTTTGAATTTTCGATTTTATGTTCTTGTTTCCTTTTTTTGTGTGAGTCTTGGTCTTGCCGTGGGAGGCAAAAGTTTTGGAAATCTGGAATTTTTAGTTTTTCAAAATTTCAGAATTTTGAAAAACGTCGACTTTGGATAAGATAATGATTTAAAGTAATTTAGATCCCGAAGATCGGACAATTTGAATTTTTTCTGAAATTTCGAAAAAAAATCTGAAAATTTAAGAAGTTTTGAAGATATGGAATTTTTGGGATTTTTGGAATTTACGGAAAATTTTCGAACTTTTGGGATTTCAGATTTTTGAAGTTTTCTTGCGCTTTTGGGATTTTGAGAATTTCCGAATATCAGAATATGGGATTTTGAGATTTTCGAAATATCATGTATTCTAAAATTCTGTAATTCTAAAATATTCTAAAATTCTAAAATTCTAAAATTCTGTAATTCTAAAATTCTAAAATTCAAAAATTCGATAATTCTAAAGTTCTAAAATTCTGTAATTCTAAAATTCTGTAATTCTAAAATTCTAAAATTCTAAAATTCTAAAATTCTAAAATTCTAAAATTCTAAAATTCTGAAATTCTAAAATTCTAAAATTCTAAAATTCTAAAATTCTAAAATTCTAAAATTCTGTAATTCTAAAATTCTAAAATTCGATAATTCTAAAGTTCTAAAATTCTGTAATTCTAAAATTCTAAAATTCTAAAATTCTAAAATTCTAAAATTCTAAAATTCTAAAATTCTAAAATTCTAAAATTCTAAAATTCTAAAATTCTAAAACTCTAAAATTCTAAAATTCTAAAACTCTAAAATTCTAAAATTCTAAAATTCTAAAATGCTAAAATTCTAAAAATTCGAAAATAAGTTCAAAAGTCAAAACTTGTCAGTCATTTCAAAAAAAAAATAAATGTATCTTCCTCTTCCTCTCTCACAAAAATATGACGAATTGTGAAAAACTTCAAAAACTGATCGCTATTTTGAAAAATGTACAAATCTACTGGCTCAAAAGAAGAAAAAGTGGCTTTTCTCTTCTGCGGAAAGGAGGAAAAATTCTAATCCCTTCTTCCTTCCTTCCCCCAATGGAATTTCATTGACCCAATTCTTTTTTTTCTGGCCTCCGGCCGGAGCCCTTAGTTCCATTTTCTTCCCTTTTTTGGTCCATTTTTCTACTAAATTTCTATCTTTTTTCTTTTATTTTTTGTGTATCTTTTTCCCCCGACGGCCTCATAAACTACTCTTCTTCTTCTTTAGTTTGAGTACTATTTTAGAAGAGCACTCTTTTTGGTGCCACGTGGCAATGAATAATTGGTCCCAAGAGGACCCGATTTGGGTTTTCTAATTCATATTTCTGTAGTTTGTAGTCTAGCAGACTAAAAAGACTATTTTATGCTTGAAAGGACATGTCGAATTTTTGAAGTTTTGGAACTTTTACAATTTTTCTGATTTTTGGAATTTTTGGAATTTGGGTCTCCTGCAAATCCTTTATTTGTAGTTTGTAGTCTAGCAGGCTCACAATTAGGAAGGTTTGGGTTCGCTGATCCTTATTTTATAGCTTGTAGTCTAATTACACATTAGCAACCCACCAGATTTTTCGGAACCCTGAATTTTTGGAATTCTCGGAATTTTTTGGAACCTTTTGAAATTGTGTGCTAGTTCATGTTTTCGTAGTTTGTAGTCTAGCAGACCAAAGGACTAATCTATCTTTACAGGCTTTTCGGAATCTCGGTTTTTTTGGAATGTTTTGAATTTTGAAATTTTTTTTGTTGGAGTTTTTGGAAAGTTTTCGATTTTTGGGAGTTTTTAGAATTTTAGATCTTGGGTCTGCTAACTCTTATTTTGCAGTTTGTAGTCTAGCAAACAGTGCAAAGGATTAACCTAATTATACAGGTTTTTCAGAGTTTTCAAATTTTTGAGTTTTTTCAGAATTTTCGAAGTTTTTGGAATTTTTTGGAATCTCGGAATCTTCCGAATTTGCGGAATTTTTGGGTTATTTTGGAATTTTCTGAATTTGGATTTGCTAATTCCAATTTTCGTAGTTTGTGGTCTAGCAGACCAACACTAACGTCAAGCGATTTGGGTCCGCTAATTCATCCATTGTAGTTTGTAGTCTAGCAGACCGAAAATGTTTGATATTTTTTCCCTTTTTTTTTCTTCTAGACTTGTTGCAAACTTTTTTTTTCTACCTATATTCACATTTTCTGGGTAACCTGATATTCTTTTTTGCTAGTATTACGTAGTATACTATTTTTAAACCTAATTTTTCAGATTTTTCTTTAAAAATGAGGGAAAAGTTAGAATTTTGGTCTGCTAGACTACAAACTCAGAAACACTAGCAGACCGACCAAAATCGTGCGCATTAGAACCGTCAACTTTGAACCGATATATCTCGTTTTTCGTCAAAGTTATGGAAAAGTTGTCAATTGATAAATTGTTTATCATAATATCAGAAGTATTTTATCAGTTGAAAGATTTTTGATATCTCTTAGAAGAGCCGAGATAATTGAGCTCAAACTTTATAGTGCTCTTTTTCCAGGTTTTTGTTAAAAACCAGGTTTTCTAGTCAATTTTTTATCTTTTTCTCTGAAAACCTCGATTTCTCAAATCTCAAAACCCCCATAAATCCTTTTTTAGTACCACCACCAAACCAAAAAATTTCGTGTTCTTTCCTGTCAGCGCTCTTTCTAAATAACTCATCCCCTCCCCAAATTTTTCTCTCCTTTTTGCTATCCTCCTCCCATGTATAACGAAAAGAGAAGAAGAAGAAATTTGGGTTGACGGATTGAGTTTCCTACTTTTCCCCCACCATTTTCCGAGAGAGAGAGAGAGACCCGTCATACGGGGGGATGGACCTCACACGGACAGGACTCATTTTGTTTTAGTCTTGTTTTCACGCGTCACCACCAAACATACATACATTTTTAGAGTTCTCTATCTTGTTTTAAAAGTACAGTACCGGCCAATAAGATATAGAAAAACGGATTTTTCAGTTGATTGTTGGCCGCTTTTTTTAAACTATAAAATAGAAAAAATTTCCTACAATGCTGTGTAAAAATCATATTTCTAGCGCTTCTAGGAGCCGAGATAGAGTCACTCCAAGAGGCTAGAGACGCAGACGACGAGACACACTGCGTCTCTAACCTCGGAAACTTTAAATGACCGCGTCTCGATGTCTAGATGAGCTAGAAAGTTGGTTTTTGGACAGAATTACATGGTTTGAAATGGGTTTTCAGATTATTTATGGAAAAGTATTTCTTTTGCGTGGTTTCTGACGTTTTGATACCCATATTGCCCTAGTTTAAAGAATTTTGAATTCCGAATCCAGAAGACGTCAAAATTCATATTATCACTAAACTAGGTCGATATGGGTATCACAACGTCGGAAATCACATAAAAAGAACAATTAACGACGTAGAAATTTCAAACAACTGCGAATTCAGAATTCAGAAGACGTCAACGAATGGAATTTTCGAACCTTTGGAAAATTTTTTTTGCCGTCTTCTGAATTCTAAAAACGCAGCTTTCTGAAATTTTCACATCTTTAAATCGTTTTTTAAGTGGTTACCGAGGTTTTGATATTTATTTTATTTTTTATTTTATTTTTTTTATTTTTATTATCTGAATTTTGACGTCTTCTGAATTCTCAGAATTGAAAATTCTTCGGACTAGGGCAATATGGGTATCAACATATCGGAAATCTCATAGAAAAGAAAGTTAACGACGTGAGAATTCCAGAAAACTGCGTTTTCAGAATTCAGAGCAAAGGGTGGCAGAGCAAAGGGTCTGCTAATGTTTATTTTGTAGTTTGTAGTCCAGCAGACCTCCAGATATCCTATAAACAAAACTATACAGAGCAAATTTCCTCCTTCGCCGCTTCGTAATAGGCGGGTACCCATTACTTCACGGAATCTAAGACTTTTGCTCCGTCCGTCCGGAAATTACATGGTTCTTTTTTTAGTCGGCTCTTCTACCCTATTCCTCCAATTTCTCATTTTCTCATTCCTCGGCCTCTTTTTGCCCCCCCCCCCCCCCCTTCTTCAATTTTCTCAATTTTCTTAAGAGGTTTACTGAAAGAGAAAAGTCACCCGAGAAGGTTGATGTTTTACTGGAAAATTTAGGTTTCTGAGAATTTATTTTGCATAGAATCTAGATGACGTGGCATCTTCTGAAAATACCAAAAGGTCAGAAGCATCATTTGAAATTCTGGAAATTCCTTCTTTTTTTCAGAATTTTAGAACAGGGATTCTAATGAATTTTTCATTTTTATCGTTAGTGCCATTGTACATCCTTTTTTTTTGCTTTCTGGAAGATTCTTCCACTCATTTTTGTAGTTTGTAGTCTAGAAACCCAAGGTTTAATCTAGCTATACAGTTTTTTTTTGAATTTCAGATTTATTTGAATCTTTCGAGATTTTTGGAATTTTCGGATTTTGAGTTTTTTTTGGAATTTTCGGTATTTTTGAAAATTTTGAATTTGGGTCTGTTAATGTTCACTTTGTAGTTTGTAGTCTAGCAGATCAAAGCGCGCGCAAGGCGCCGAGAAGATCAATGGGTCTGCTAGTCCTTACACTGTAGTTTGTAGTCTTGCATACCCAGGGCTAACGTTAACCGACGACCAGTGGTGTGGGTCTACTAGTCCTTACTTTGTAGTTTGTAGTCTAGCATACCAAAGCTAACGTCAGGCGGCGACCAGTGGTTTGGGTCTGCTATTGTTTGCCTTGTAGTTTGTAGTCAAGCAGATCAAATTGACGACTCTATGCGTGATATGATTTGGGTCTGCTAATTCTTATTTTTGTAGTTTGTAGTCTAGCATACCGACGCTCACGCAAGGCGAAGACAAGAGCTTTTGGTCTGCGAATGTTGCCCTTGTAGTTTGTAGTCTAGCAGACCAATCTATTCATGCCGTTTCTGTTATAAATAGCTTGAAAACTAGCCTTTTCAAACATTTTTCTTTGATTTCAGCCAAGCATTCTCAACTCGCAAGGCGTGGATGGAACGTGGCAGCTTGGCGTGCCTAGGCTCCGCCCACAATTGCCACGTCATCAATGCCGACCTACCTAGGAACCATCACCGGTTGCATCCGGAGATAATTGATAATGGAGTGCACGCAAATGGAATTCAAAGTCAATACGGTAGGATTTTTTGTAGTTTTTGTAGTTTAGCAGTCCCATCTTCGGTAATAGATTTTTTAGAATTGAGAATCTGAATTTTGACGTCTTCTGAATTCTCAGGATTCAAAATTCTTGAAACTGATCATTTTCTACCGTCACACACAAAAACCAAAAAAATGCCACCGGTCGGGTTCGAACCCGCGACCTTCAAATTGGTAGATTTCAATGAAAAATCCCACTCGGCCATCCGGACGCATTTTTGAAAAATGATCAAAAAATGAAATTGTTTTTTTTGACATTTTTGAACATCCAAAATTAAATTACAGGTTCCTTCTCATCGCTGGCGCAAGCTGAACCATCGACATCTGTAATGCGTCGTTCGTGTACTACAGATGAATTCAGAAGAGTCAGAAGACGTCTGCCGAGAAGACCAGATGAGCTGGGTGAACCCATCGAACTTCCACAATCCAAGTCAATGTACGAAAGAGCACTTTGTGCACAGTTTGGGAATTCTGCTGGATATGCCACGTCGCCTCCAGAAGACTATACACTACGAAAAGAGCGAGAGAGTGTGGAAATGGAGAGACGCAGAGAGAAGACGAGTCGACCGCCAAGTTTGGCATTGCAAAGCACTATTGATACTATTAGGTACGAAATTCAGAAATTCAGAAGTTTGAAAGCTCAGAAAAGGAACAGCCAAAATTTTTAATTTTCAAGTAAATCATCATTTTGGTCTGCTATCTCCAAATTGTATAGTTTGTAGTCTAGCAGACTCATTCACCCTATGTTCCACAATAAATTATCCATTGCCTCCTCCTCCTCCCTAACCCATTATCCCACAGCTCTCTCCATTTTCCCGACACAATTACTGCTCTCGGAGCATCTAGTCTATTCCCAAGGCCGTCCGTTTTTCCCCTTCCTTTAATCTCTTTGAAAACCTGACTCCGCCCACAAAAACAATTGGGAGGAAATAGTGTTGAAAAGTGATAGAGTGTTTAGAGAAAAAGAAAAGAGAGAAATGAGTTTGGAAAAAGGCATTCTTCTGGTGTTCTCTAAATGGAGTGGAGAAGACGTCAACGTCTTCTTTTTCTCGTTTTTTTTTGAATCTAGGAACTTGATAAAAATCCAGATTGGTCTGCTACCTCTGAAACTGTAGTTTGTAGTCTAGCAGACCCATCGCCCGTGGCCTGCTAACGCTGTGCGTATAGTTTGTAGTCTAGCAGACCCATCGCAATAGCCTGCTTGGCTATAAACTACAGTAAATAGAACACCAAATCGTGTATAACAAAATGTGTAATTTGTAGTTTGTAGTCTAGCAGACCCATGAAACTGAAATCGTGGGTTTTTTTTTCAATTTTCAGAAAATTTAATTTTTCTAGGAAACCAAACTTTTTCAGCAAGAAAATACATAGTTCAAATTTTCTGCCAATTTGTGGATACCCGTTTTCATAGTTTGTAGTCTAAACATTATAGTTTGTAGTCTGACCCAAAAAAGGAAAAACGTCGTGGGAGAGTAATTGGAAAATTGGAAGAAAAAAAGACAAAAGAAAGAAAATTAGGTTGTTTGAAAATAACAAAAAAAAAGTTTTGAAGTTTCTGGAAATTTTCGGAAAAAAGTTTTTTTGTCAGAAGTTTTAAAAATCTTCAAAAACAAAAAATTCATTTCGAAAAGCTCTGAAAATAAGAATTTCCGAATTTCTGAACTTCTTTTTCCTCTAGTAATACCGTAAAACCTGTTTTAGAAGGGCCGACATTGCTCCAAGGTAGCTCTGTAGGGCTCTTCTATTACAGGGGCCTTTCAATTAGAGGGGGCCCTTCTATTTCTTTGGCCAGTTTTTTTTCCGTAATTTAGCATCGAAAAATTCGACGAAGTTCTGTTCAAAATTCATGAAAATCTGCCAATTTCACCAAAATTTAGCAAGATGTTCATCGAAAAATAGAGTTTCAACAAATTTCTTTTAAATTGTGGAGTTCCCGGAATATCTCCACTGAAATAGTACCGAAATTTTCTGATTTCATAACACATTTTGAAAAGGCGGGTCCATTTTCACAGAGGGCCCTTCTATTACGAGGGCCCTTCTATTTTTCCGAGCCCCTCTCGGAGGGCCCTCCTATTAGAGGCGTCCTTCTATTAAAGGGCCCTTCTATTACAGGTTTCACGGTAAATCAATAACTTTGTTTCGCCTTCTTAATTATGTAGTTTTTTTTCAGAAATTCCAGCGCAATGGAAGGAGGTCCACGTCGTCAGACTCCAATGAGCAACCAAAATCATCCCTCTGCTACAGTAATCGATCCGTGTGCTCATCTGGAGACACCGATTTCTCCGCATAGTGAGTTATTATTATTTTTTTTGAATTCGAATTGAATTTTTTTTTCAATTTCATATGAAAATAAATAGACAAAATTGCACTTTTCGAGTCCTAAAGAGGCGAAAAATTCTGGGTAATTTATCATTTTCTGCTCCTAGCAAAACAGAAAATCGATTCATCAAAGCAAGAAAGTTTCCTGTTGTGCTTTTTCATGTTCTTCCGAATGCACTTTTTCATTTTTCATCTATTTCCTCTTTTTTTTTTGTTGGTTTGACAGATTTAGGCATTTCAGTAGGGATTTGGAGGTCAAGAATCGAAAGAAAACTTTTTTTGCTGGAGAAATTTTGAAAGGGATCAAAAATTAAAAAAAAATCTGGTAAATGGAGATTAGAATTAGCAAGAGTTTGCTGAAAATTTTTAAAGATTTATGAAAGGTTTAGAAACAATTCTGACAGGAATTTTGTTCAAAATTTGCTATTTTTGGGAATTCTGGAATTTTGGAAACTTTAGAAATTTCGAATTCTTGGGAATATTTTGGATTTTTTGGAATTATCAGAATTTCGGAAACTTTTTTTTTGAATTTTTCGGAATTTTGGGAACTTTAGAATTTTCATAATTTCTGGAATTTTTTGACTTCAGAATTTTAGAATTTTAGAATTTTAGAATTTTAGAATTTTAGAATTTTAGAATTTTAGAATTTTAGAATTTTAGAATTTTAGAATTTTAGAATTTTAGAATTTTAGAATTTTAGAATTTTAGAATTTCTTACTTTTTACTTTTTGTTTGCAGTCTAGCAGACCAAAACAATCAAGACACGTTGCAAGAATTCATATACAAAATTTTTTGAAATTTTTAAATAAATTTCGCAATTGTTTCAATCAATTTTCAAGATTTCAGACACTGCTTATTGTCGAATTAAAAAAAAGTGACACCTGAGAATTTGAAAAATTTTGCGTTCAAGTTTAGTTTTTTTTGCTGAAAAATAGATTCTAGAGATGCTAGCGATCATTTTTATACCAAGAAATCAAAATTTTGTTCAAAAAATCCCACTAATTTCACATAATTAAATTTGTTATCTACAGTATCCGTTTTCGCTCCGCCCCCTCGTAAATCGACACGAGCGTCGTCTCCGAGATTTTCAGGTGTCACTTTTTTTAATCCGACAATAAAACCTGTAATAGAAGAGTCCCCTAACACTTAGGTTTGAGCTCAATTATCTTAATTCTTCTGCAAGATATCAAAAAGTTGTCAACTTATAAATTGTTTATCATATTATCACCAAAATTTTATCAGTTGACAGATTTTCGATATCTTTGATAGGGATCCAGATAAATTGGTTAAAGGTGACAGTTTGGGTGCGCTTCTATCAGAGGTAGTACGGTAGTTTTTGTTTTCAGAAAAAAATCTGGTATATCTCTATGGCATCATTTTGGCCACCTAATCAACAGATGAAATGATTAAAACAAATGAAATTAAGTTTCCCAAATATTTTTGATTCCAAGAGCACTTCTTCTAATGAAAAATGCCGGAAATTCTAAAATGAAAAATGTTGCCATCCATCCATTCTTGTCTCTCCGCCTTCTCCCATCTGCTCTTCTGAATTGAATCTAATTTCCGATGCTTCCCCTGGCTTTTTCCGAAAAAGACGTCATAAACACTTTTGCCTCCGCCATTTCTCTGCTCTTCTTCTGTTTCCAAAAGGAGATAGTGGCGTTGAGCATAAGGGGAGAAGAAGAAGAAGTAGAAGAAAAGGCAAATCTGTGTGGTGAATCTTCAGAAGACACATGCGCCTTCTTCTTTCACAATTCTTGTCTTCTTCTTCTTACACCAAATAATGGAACAAAATGCTCCCACACCACACTTTCTCTCTCTCTCTCTCTCTCTCTCTCTCTCTCTCTCTCTCTCTCTCTATCTTTAAAGGGACACAAAGTTTATCGATCCTCTTCTTCTTCTTTTTCAACTAACTTTTTTTATTCCAGAGAGTTCCTCCCTGGGATGAGTCATTCTCTTTTTTTGTTCAAAGAGATGAGCAATTGAGAAAATAAGATATCAAAATTGTCTAGCTATTTTCTTAGAAGATGTTTTTGGGTGCTAGATTGAAATTTTAGATTTTTGAGAGTTTTTGGAATTTTCCGGATTGTTTTGCGGTTTTCTAGGACTTTGAATTTTCGATATAGAGAATTGTTCGGAGGGTCCCAGGATTACGGATTTTTTAGATCACTAAATTTCTAACTATCTGAATTATAGCATTTAGGTGTTTTTGGATTTCAAGGATTTCAGATTTTTTGAGTTTCAGAATTTCGAAAGTTTTTGAACTTCTAGAAAATTTTATAATTCCTGAAATTCAAAGTTTTGGACTATTTGGAGTTTCTGTTATTCATATTTTTTCGAATTTCCCGAATTTCTGAATTTCAGATTTTTCGAATTTCTGAATTTCTGAATTTCTAAAAACATTCGAATTTCTGAACATCCAAATTCAGTTTTTCTTTAATTTCTGGTATCATGAATTTCAAAACTCTGAAATTTCGAAGTTAGGAATTTTTGAGTTTCTGAATTTAAAAATTTCCGCATTTTCACATTTTCACGTTGGCTCGGAAGCGTCTTATTTTATTTCTTGAATTGCCTCAAATTTTGTGGCCGGGGTATTAAAAATTGGCTGAAATTTTCAGAACATGTATATGTACATATAAATAGGGAATTCAGAAATTCAGAAATTCGGAAATTCCGAAATTCAGAAATTCAGAAATTTAGAAATTCAGGCATGCAGAAATTCAGAAATTCAGAAATTCAGAAATTCAGAAATTCAGAAATTCAGAAATTCAGAAATTCGGATGTTGATTAGCAAGTTGAAAAATGTTCCGAATGATAAAAAGGTCCAATTATTAGATTTTGAAAAAAATGCGGTTTCATGTCGTGTTCATTTCCTTGGTATTCTTTGCCACCCTGTTCCTTCAGAATGACTAATCCAATCTCCCCTTTCCTGTACTTTTCCTTCCTTCATTTCCCCTTCCATTCACTCAGCTTCCCCAGGAACTCGAGGCCCCAGGAACTCAAGGACATCACCCCATTTCTTGTTTTCCCTTTTTGCGCTCTAGGACGTTTCCTAGTATGTGCTCATTAGAAATGAATGCCGCTGGCAGCTTCTGTCATTGACATTTGTCCCCATTTCTTCTTCAGAAAATTATATTTTGAAGACGTCGTTTCTTCAGAAGACGGAAAAATGTTGTTAACATCTTCTGAATACAAATATAGGAGAATCATCGATTTTATTGGCCATCTGAAACAGAAGCACTCAGAAAAAAAACTGAAAAACAACTAGAAGAAGGAAACGATAAGCTTGTTATTTTCACTTTTTGTAAACAATTTTTTGGTCTGCTAATGTCCACTTTGTAGTCTAGCAGACTAACGCTAGCTTTGTGCGTTTTGAGCTTTAGATCTTCCAATGTGAATATCTCGTAGTTTGCAGTCCAGCAGACCAACTGACACATTTCTAATGCGCGCTAGATTGGTCTGCTAGTGTTATCACCTTGTAGTTTGTAGTCTAGCAGACCAATCTATACGAAATTGGGCCGTGAAAAATCGCAATATATTTTTCCTATTTCTCCATATGTCAAAAAACAATGATTAACGACTTTTCCCTCTTTTTCGCCGCCGCCCCTTTTTTTATCCGTTTTCTCCCGACCAAAATTTTCAGTTCAGTTTTTTTTTTGTTTTCCAAATGCTTGGGTCTGCTAGACTACAAACTACAAATTTGGGATTAGCAGACCAAAATTGAAATCTTGATTTCCAGATTTTTTCCTTTTTTATGGATGACTATTCCAGATTTTCTGAATTTCTGATTTTCTGAATTTTCGAATTTTGGAATTGTTGAATTTCTGAATTTCTGAATTTTTGAAATTTTGAATTTCTGAATTTATGAATTTCTGAATTTCCGAATTTCTGAATTTCCTGGAATTTCTGAATTTCTGAATTTCTGAATTTCCGAATTTCTGAATTTCCGAATTTCTGAATTTCCTGGAATTTCTGAATTTCTGAATTTCCGAATTTCTGAATTCCTGAATTTCTGAATTTCCTGGAATTTCTGAATTTCTGAATTTTCTCGTTTGTAGCCTAGCAGACCAACCAACTCATTCATCATGTTCGTCCATCATCAACCCCCGTCATCTGGTTCCCCAGATATCATGCTCAAAAGGGAACATATCCAATTTCTCCTTTCTCTGCGTCTCTCTCATTTCCCATAGTATTTCTCATATTTAATGTGGCTTGTCTTTTTTCTCCATCTCCCCCCATGAGCACTAAAAAGACACCAATGGCAATCCAAACAGAGCCAAAAAGAAGGGGAGCTGGGACCACTAGCACAAATAATTACGTCATTTTGGGGACATTGAGCCTCCCTCCACACAGCTATATAGCTATTTTCTTTTCAGTTTTTATAGATGTGTTGAGCCACCGTTGTATATGTTTCTAGGAAATTGAAAATAATTGGTTTCTGAAAATTAGTGAATTCTGAGCTTTGAAAAGACACTTTCTTGAAAATTTTACACCAGAATGGTCAAGCAAAAATTCGCTATTTCTTCATTAGTGGTTTTTTAATTCAATTTTTCTTAAATATTTCAAACTTTATACTTTTTTGGTTTTCTGGGATTGTTTCGCAATTTGAACTTTTCAATAAATTTCTGAACAAAGACTTAATTATCATAATTAACAATCCATGTCAAAACAAATTAAAAATTATTTTTTTCAGTATTCCAATCAGTGCTCCCATCACCGACACCATCATCATCTGGACGTCGTCTACCAGCACTTCCAATCAATTCAGCCGCTCTTCTCCGACGAATTCCAATGGCGAACATCCCACCGAATCCACCATCAAAACTTCAAGATCATCAATTATGTTTTATGGATGGAATGGCGGATTCAATGATGGAACGATCAGGATTCGAGGATTCTTATTATGAGGAGGACGGCATTAATGGGAACAGTAGGAGACGAAGAGGACAGAGAAAATGTGAGTTTGGAAAAAAGTATACTGCGAACCTATGGTCTCCGTAAAACCTCCAATAAAAGGGCCCTCTAATTTTCACCCCATTTATCTCATTTCCTGTGAAAGGTATCAAAAAGTTGTCACCTGATAAAATGTTTATTATAATATCTGAATCGTTTTATCAGTTGACAACTTTCTGATATCTCTCACAGGAATTTAGAAAAATCGGATCAAAGTAGACACCCCCCCCCTTTCATTACGGGGTTTACGAGTTGATTGCTGTGAACGTTTTTCTAGCTAGTATATGAATTTCTGTGTTTCTGAATTTCTAAACTCCAAAACTTCAAACTTCAGAACATTTTTCTTTTTCTCTTCTCCCACTTTACCCTAGATTAGTTCGTTTTTCATTTTAGCCTTCTTCTCTCCAGATGACTCATCTGGAGTCTCCTCGTGCACGACGTCGGACAGCCAGAATCCCACCCATCGCGTTCAATCGGCGTTCCATCCGAGGTCTGCTAGACTACAAAAACTACAAAGACTACAAACTAAAAAATTTTTCAGACATCCCGATGAACTGCTTCTGGAGATTGGAGATGCTGTTCACGTCGATAGGACTGCCGACGATCATTGGAGTTATGGTAAGATTTGGGATACACAGACACACAGACTGATTTTAAAACTTTTCAGGAACAAATTTGCGTACGGGACAGTCTGGAATATTTCCAGCTTCTATAGTTTGCGAGATTGATTTGGTCGAGGAGATTTGTTTAGGTGCACTGCCAACAAACACGAATAGTGAGTTTGTGGTTAAAAACTACATTAGCCTGATCGCTTTGGGTCATTTTGACAATTTTCAAAACTGCCAAGTTTCCGATCTCTTTGAAATTTTTCGGAAAAAAAAACTTTGACGTCTTCTGAATTCTGAAAAACGCAGCTTTCTGAAACTCTCACGTCGTTGACTCCATGTGATTTCCGATGTTTTGATACGCATATCGACCTAGTTTGAAGAATTTGGAAACCAGAATTCAGAAGACGTCGAAATTCAAATTCTCGGTTTTTAGCTATTCGCTGATTTCTGAAAGACACCTCTTCTTGGCCAGCACTGATAACGTCAAAAAAATGACAAAAAATAATTGGAATTCGACCAACCCATATCGACCTAGTTTAGTGATACACTGAATCTTGACGTCTTCATAATTCTGAATTCGTAATTCTTCAAACTAGGGCAATATGAGTATCAAAATGTCGGAAATCTGATGGAAAAGAGTCTTAACAGCGTAAAAATTACCGTAAGCTGCGTTTTCAGATTGCAGAAGATGTCAAATTCCAGATTCTGAATTCTAACAGACCTATATTGAAAACTATGCATTTACAGTTTTTTTGTTTAAATTTTGAAATTTTTCTCACAAAAAATTACTAAAATCTTCGAAATGCAACCAATCTGGGGGTTTTCAACGATTTTGGATTTTGTAATCCTCGTGGACACGCGAAATTTGAATTTGAAAGTTTTTAAATTCTGGAAAACGCAGCTTTCTAGAATTTTCACGTCGTTCTCTTTTCCATGTGATTTACGACATTTTGATACCAATATCGACCTAGTTTAGTGATACACTGAATTTTGACGTCTTCTGAATTCTGAATTCGAAATTTCTTCAAACTAGGGCAATATGGGTATCAAAATGTCGGAAATCGCATAAATAAGAGAGTTAATGACGTAAAACTAACCGTAAGCTGCGTTTAAAAAATTTAGAAGCCGTCAATTGGGGTTGATCGAATTTTCCAAAATTTCCAAATTTTTCGAAGTGATGGAAAACTGACAGCCAATCTCTAGATTTCTGAAAATGGTTAAAATGTAAGAAAATCAACTGAAAATACGATTTCGTAAATCTTATTGATCGGTACTGTATCTGAAATTCCCAGAAATGCTAAACGGAGATCGTGACACGTTCTACCTGACAATGTTAGCATCCATCGAGGTTGCTCATCATAAAGGAAATGACGTTTTGACTCAAGCGATGAACAAAGTGCTGTCAATGTACAAAAATTCGGAGGAGATTATTGTACCGCAGACGGTGCTGATGGAAATCTCGTTTAGAGGAATTCATGTGATTGATAAGAGAAGGAAGAATGTGAGTTGACCAAAAATGACCTAACTTGTGCAATTTGAGTTTTCTAGGCCACCATGGGAAGTGGCCTAGAAATGACCTGTCATTCAATTGGGGTGATTTTTCAGCCATTCATGATGGTGGCCTAGAAAATGCAAAGTTAGCTAAAATTGCCAAGAAAACATAGCAGGAGGATTGTAAGACATTTTTGGACCATTAACTCCGATGGTCTAGAAAATGCATGTTGCGAAATTTAGGCCACCATGATAAAATGGCCTAGAAATGACCTAACATTTTCCTGGTGTGGTTTCTAGGCCGTTTTGAAGCGGCGGCCTAACTTTGAGTTAATTGATGGTCCAGAAATGTCCCAGAAACCATCTTTTGCGTTTTCTAGGCAAATCATTTCGAGAAAGTTAGGCCACTACGTTAAATGGGTCGAGAAAGCACACCGAATGAATATCAGGAAATTCCTAGGTCATGTTAACATGGTGGCCTAGAAAACTCGACTTGCAAAAGTTAGGCCATCAGGCTTGAAAAAAAAATTCCAACCAAAAATTTCTCTACTTTTCCAGTTTTTCCAATGTCCAATGTTCGATTTCTTCTACAGTCTCCAGAACATTTCATTCTGCGGTGCTCACCCGAAACAATTGAAGTGCGTTAACTGACCAATTAACTCCAACTAATTAACGATTTTCAGATATTTCGGATTCATCACCAAGCATCCCCTTTTGCCACGTTTTGCCTGTCACGTCTTCATGTCAAAAACGACCACTCAACCGATCGTCGAGGCTATTGGGTACGGTAGTTTTTGAAAATTTTGGATTACTGTAAACATTTACAATTTTTGGATCACATTTTAATTTTTTGGACTAATTGGAGCATTTTCTTGTCGGTTTCAATAAAAAATTTCCGGATTACTGTAATTTTTTCCAGACGAGCCTTCAAACGATCCTATGATGAGTATATGGCATTTGCTCACCCGACCGAGGATATTTATTTGGAATAATATGTTTCAATTCTAAATTTCACATTTTTTGATCTATCATTTTTTTTTCTTTCTTTTGGCTATTTTTGATTTCCAGAGCTAGTTTTCCCATTATTGTACGGTTTTTTTACAATTTGAAAAATCTGATGTCATAATTTTTTCATGTGAAACTCTTTAAAAAAGGTATTTAAAAATTTTTCTTTGATCTTCATTTTTTCCGGAAAATTTTTTTCCCGAAAAAAACATTCAAAACTAGATCAAATTTTTCATATTGACTTTTTCCTTCATTTTTTCTGTGTTTTTTCAACGTGTTTTCCCGGCTTTCCTGAACATTTTCCTGCTTTAATTTGTTTTCAGACGACAAAATAGATAGAAAAAAAGACCAACCAGAATTTATGGAACGGATTTTTGACCCAATTTTGGGGTGAGAGCTGAAAATTTGAATTTCTGAAATCTGGAAATTATAGAACCCTAGGAATTTAGGAGCCTGAATTTTTGAATTCGTCGTATAATTTTGATCTAGATTTTTGGATCTGATATTTTTAATTTTATTGGGAAAACTTTTCAGCAAATAATTGGTCAAACTATTTTCGATTTTGTAAAGAAGGCGAGGTTCTTCGTGGGGTGTGCAGGTGAGCGTGCTTGTCTATCTGTTGCGCATCCACAGGTAGAGGCGGAGTTGCCCGGGTCAGTTACCCTCCAACCCAGTCTAAAGGTGCCCTCAACCCACGCAACGACACTCCGCTATCCCGCTCCGCGCGCGCGCTCTGAATTCGAATTACTCTTTTAGTTTTTGGGTGCGAGCTTAGCTAATGCTCGTTGTTCTAGACTCTTTTCTAGTGAATTAAGTTAGTTTGCTTAGTTTTCAGGTTTTTAATCATTGTTTGTTTCTGTTTAACCCGGGTTGCGTCGCAATAAAACGTTATTGTGACATATCTCGTTGTTATTCTTCTATGTTTATCACAGGAATCTGAGAAATCGTCTAAATATCTAATGGAGTTATTCAGCTAGGTAAAAAACCTGGTATTTTACATAGCAAAAAAGGTCAAAAACTAGGTTATTTACCATTTTTGCCAGGTAAGAAATCAGGTTTTTTACCTAGCTGAATGACCCCATAAATATATTCAAAAACCCAAAATACCGTATAACCTCTAACTTCGAACCCACATATCTCGGTTCCTGTAAGAGATATCAACAATAAGCTGATCAAATTTTTGTGGTATTTTGATAAACAATTTATCAGTTGACATCTTTTTTTATATCATTCACAAGAACTGAGATAAACTCGCTTGAAGTTGAAAGTTGGGCCTATCCAATTTTTCAAAATGTCAAAAATTTGAACTTTTTACAGGAATTCATTTTAATTAGTTTTAGTTCTATCCCATTGGTAAATGCTGTAATAAAAAAGCCCCCTAACTTTGAACTTTGAGCCAAAATTTATCTCGGTTCCTTTTAGTGATATGAAGAATTTGTCAACTGATTGTTTGTTGATTATGATACCAAAAACATTTTATCAGTTGACACATTTTTGATATCTCTTACAGTAACTGAGATAAATAAAGCCAAAGTTGACCATGTGAACGCCCTTCTATTATAGGTTTAACGGTATCTTTAATATAATTTTGCATTTTCCAAGTCACTTTTTGTTTTAATTTTTTGAAAATATATAAATGAAAAATATTTTTATTGAAATTCAAAAAATAAAAATTTTAAGCAGAAAGCAAGATAAAAAGTAAATAGATAACACAATAAATTACTAGAAAAAAACAGCATGGCAGGACAAAATCATCGAGTTTTGGAGGTATTAGGAAAATATATAATACAGATTTTTTTACAAATTTTGAGACGCAACTTACCGTAAACCCTGTAATAGAACGGTCCCCAAGCTTGAGCTCAATTATCTCAGCTCCTATGAGAGATACTAAAAATTTGTCAACTGATAAAATGTTTGTGATATTATGATAAACAAATTATGAGTTAACAGATTTTTGATATCTTTTGAAGGAGCCGTGATAATTTGGCTCAAGTTAGGGAGCTATTCTAATACAGGGTTTTCTCTCAATTTTCTAGTTTCAAAACTTTTTACAACAATTTTTCAGCCAAAAAGGTCTCCATAGCCGACCAGGATCGATTAGAAGCGATTGGATTAAAAGCGGCTCCAGGGATTCCCCAATTTTCGACACCGGGAAGTGTGAAGGCGTGAAGAGCATGTGCGTATCTAGTGAACATCCAATCACCGTCACGTCTTCTCATCTCTACTAAGAAGGCGTCGGCGTCGGCGTTCGTCGTGTGTGGGTCCTCGTCTCCGTGATGAGCTTGGACGGAGGCGTCGATGGAGCTGAAAAATCAGAAGACTAGGTGAGATTTTGAATAGTTCAGCTTTAAAGTTTTTTTTTCTAGAATTCGAGGTGAATATTTTTAATTTTTGTGGAAAATTCTATCGTAGTTTTTGAGCAATGCGCTTTTTAGGTGAGTGTACCTTACCTAGACCCTCCCCGGTGGTATGCGCTTACTTCAAACACTCATATTTCAAAAACTACTGTAGATAGGAAAAAGTAGTTTACCAATAAAATGTGTGAAATTATACTGCAAACATTTTTGCTGTTGACAAATTTTTTCTAACTACCGTAGTTTTTGAGTTATGCGCCTTTAAAGTTAGCCTATCCCAAAATACAAGTTCTAAAATTCTAAAATTCTAAAATTCTAAAATTCTAAGAAATTCAGAAATTTGAATATTCAATGATTCAAAAGTTCGAAATTTCTAAAATTTTAAAATTCTGAAATTTCTAGTACTGATTATCAATTTCATTTTTTGTCTTTCAAATATCAATGAATACTAATCAGTGATCAATGCCAAATCAACTAGACCTTGTTTTTATGCCTTCCAACTGTTAGACTAATTAGGAACAATTAAGACTACCGTATTTTCTCTAATAGAAGCCCACCAAACACGTGCACTGTGAGATTGCTGCCAATAAATTAGAAGCGGCGCTCTGGTGCCGATTGGGTTTGTGCACTTTGAGCTCAATTATCTCAGAACCAAGATATTTGAACTCAAAGAGAATACCGTATTTCCTCTAGTAGAAGCTCACCCAAGCCGTCAACTTTGAGCTCAATTATCTCGGTTCCTATGAGAGATATCAAAAATTTGTCAACTGATAAAGTATTGGTAATTTTATGATGAACATTTTATCAATTGACAAAATTTTTATATCTCTCATAGGACCCGCGATAGCTGAGCTCAAACTTGGCAGTGTCTCTAATACAGATTTACAACAACCGCTAACTTTGAGCTCAGTTATCTCAGTTTCTATAAGAGATATGAAGAGGGTTGTTAATTAAAAAATTGTTTATCATAATATCTAAAATATTTTATCAGTTGGTCACTTTTTGATATCTTTGACGAGATCCGAGATAAACAAGCTCAAACTTGGATCTCTTCTATCATAGGTTTTTCGGTAGTTGTGAGATTCTCCATCTTTGACTAATTCAGGACAACTAAGACCAATTAAGACTTACGTTCCATTTCCAGGATAATCAGTAAGGGTTCCATGGAACGACACTGCCGCCTTCAACCCAACATTGAATCTGGCCAAATCCAGAGTACACAATCCGCCAAAACAGAATCCAATGGACCCAATTTTATTGGTATCCACGTATGGAAGAGCCTTCACATAATTCCAATTAGCCAGAATTCGGTTTCGAAGGATCGTCGTTCTGCAAAAACTACAGTAAGCTTTTTTTAAAACTGAATTCCCAGCCAAACCGCTGATTTTCAGCGTTTCTAACTTTAAAATTTTTAGTATTCCTCACCTCAAAATTACCCTAATGTAAGTTCAAATCTCGTCTTCGGTGTTTGCGTACTTTTGGGGCTACAGTAGTCCAAAAAATTTTCAAAATGACGCTAGAAACTTTTAGTTCCCGGCTTCTAGACCCAAATTTGGCGGGAATTTCAAAAATTTACCTATTCCCCAAAAGTTGTCCCATAATAGCAAAGTTTCCTGGCACATCTGGAGCCGCTTTTCCTTTTCCGTAGGTGTCTGCAGCGAATGCCACGTAGCCGAGCTGAAAAATTGGGTTACTGTCGACCTACTGTAGTTTGGGAGAGGGAGGGTTACTGTACCTTGGCCAAATCACGAGCCTTATTGTTGTCGAAGTCGGTACGTCCGGTGAACGCGTGGAAGATAATAACAGCTGGACGTTTTTTGAGGGGAGTGGTGAACCTGAAGGATTACTGTAGTTTGGAAAAATCATAGGGACACGAAAATTTCTCAGATTTTGGGGAATTTTTGGTTTAGTATAGTTGAAAAATTTCGAAAATCTAGGAAAAGTTTGAAGCTATGAGTCATAGGCTTAAAATCAGTCATTGGCCTGCTAATGTGGTGTGTGTAGTTTGTAGTCTAGCAGGCCCAAGTTAACGTAAGGCGCCGACTGGAGCTTTGGGTCTGCTAATTTTTTATTCGTAGTTTGTAGTCTAGCAGACCAATTTTAATATAGAGTTTTTTTTAAAGTGGTCTGCTAATGTAGTGCGTGTAGTTTATGGTCTAGCAGACCCATCGCCGCCCGCGCCTTCCCTGCTTTTTGGTACGCCTACCACCACTAGTTCAAATATTTCGCGCGTGGCCAAATGGCTAGCGCTGGCAGTTTTGAATCCAAAGGCCACAGGTTCGACTCCACCCCGAGCCAATATCCTTTTTTCTTCTTTTTATATCATTTCCTTGTAATTTACTAATGTTCTAGGAGTCTTTTAAGACTACTGTACTACTGTAGCAATAGAAAAACTCACGATGGATAGGCCAGGAATCCTTGAAGGACCGTATTCTGTGGATCCTTGAATTCTACCAATTTCTCAGTGATTGGGTTGAAAAATGGTGGAAACGTGGCTTGAGCCAATTCAGCCAAGACGAGAAAAATTAGAATAATCTGCATTCTTTCTTTTTTTGGAGTGATGAAAAATTCCAAAATCTCGACAACCGTTTTATACTCTTTTCATTTTCGTACCCGATAAGCGGATAGAGGCGAGAGAGTATGGAAAATTGAGAAACGCAGGATTCCGGTGCCATGTGTCGGCGACCTTTTTGTTCTCAGTTAAAACATCTAGACTCGAAAAAAAAAATTTATGTAAAATTCGAAACTATAAACATTCGGGAAATAGTGTAGAATTTGGAGAGAGCCCAGAGAGAAAAGAGCGACGGTCAGCGGAATTTTTTAAATCGAAATTTCCATAATTTGCTTGTTGTCCGGGAAAAGTTTATAGACATGTTTTTGGTTTTATCAATCGCTTATCAGTTAACTTTTGGTCTTTTTGTTGAAATTCGAAAAATACATTTTTATTACATCGAACAGTTTTAATTGCAGAAAAATCATAAAAATTGAGTCTGGAAATAATATTTTTTCAGATGATTTTTGATGTCATATTTATTCCAAAATAATCTTTCAGAAATTTGTAGTACCCATAGTTGCCATAATAGCGATTGTAGCCATAGTAGCCATAGTAGCCATGGTAGCCATAGTAGCCATAGTAGCCATAGTAGGCAGAGTAGTCATAGTACCCCTACTACCCATAGTACCCATAGTACCCATAGTACCCATAGTACCCATAGTACCATGTACCCATAGTACCCATAGTACCCATATAGTACCCATAGTACCCATAGTATCCATAGAAACCATATTACCCATAGTACCCCTACTACCCATATAGTACCCATAGTACCCCTACTACCCATAGTACCCATAGTACCCATAGTACCCATAGTACTCATAGTACCATGTACCCATAGTACCCATAGTACCCATATAGTACCCATATAGTACCCATAGTACCCATAGTACCCATAGTATCCATAGTACACATAATACAATTATATTCAAAAATTCATTTTTTCATAAAAAAAGTTAGTCAATTCTTTAAAAATAAAGCAATTTGGCACATAGATTTGAGTATCTTAACAGAAACACATGGGAATTTTGGGGCAATTTTTTGGGGGAAAAAATTAGAAAATGTTAGAAATATGAATTTCAAAAAAATTTTAAAAAATCTAAACACCTCGATATTCAATATTAAAATCCAAATAATCATATCTGGCGTAGGCTCCAATAACCGCCAACGGTCCGTCGGATTGGAAAATTTTGGGATTTGAGTGGGATGAATAAATGTGCTCATCGCAGCAGAATCTGGAAGTTTTTGAAAAATTAAAAAAATTGTTTAAAAAAACTTTTTTTCTGTACTATGGGTACTATGGATACTATAGGTACTATGGGTACCATAAGTACTATGGGTACTATGGGTACTATTAAAAAATCCCAAAATCTAACCTGGTCCCTGTCATTGTGAAATTCGACAATTTCAGCTCTAACGCATTAAATGAGCAAGACATTGAGCATGGAGAAATGATATTTTTTATTCTAATTTCGATATTTTTCGAGGGGGATGTCTGAAAATTTGAAAATATTAGAAACTTGAAAACAATTTTTGGGTTACGGTACCTTGATATGCCAGAAGCAGTGCTCTGGAGTGGGTAAGACGGCGTTGGAATGGACACGTGTCCTGACGGCTCCGTAGAACGTTTGAGGGGTGTCGGATGCCTGAAAATTGTTGAAATTTTGAAAGAAAAATTTAAAAATTCATTGAAATTCAGAAATTCAGAAATTCAAAATCTCCAAAATTTTAAAATTTAAAAATCCGAAATTTCAAAAAAATTCGAGAATTCAAATTCCCGCCCAACCGAACTCACCCAAAGTATACCACCACAATCCGAATTCCCGTTCTGTCCAATCGATTGATTTTCGATAGTTTCACAGAATTGACCACCGAATCCATCGGGACATACACATTGGGAACAGTCACTGGGTGCCGGATAACCACCGTGTTGGCATCGGTTTACGGTATTAGCGCATCTTTCTGAAATATGGCTGGGTTCAGAGATGAAAGAATAAGAAATTTGGCAAATTTAGAAAATTTAGGTTTAGAAAGTTTTTGACGATTTCTGTTTTTAAAAACCAAAACTAATAAAAAAACCACATCCTCTAATAGAAGCCCTCATAACTTTGAACTCAAATATCTCAATTTCTGTGAAAGATATCAAAAAGTGGTCAACTAATAAATTGTTTATCATAATATCACCAACATTTTATTAGTAAACAAAAGTTTGATATCTTTCATGGGAACCGAGATATTTGAGCTGAAAGTTGATGCACCTATAAAAAAAGGCCCCACAGAGGACTTTCAACTTTGAGACCATATATCTCCTTCCCTATGAAAGATATAAAAAATTTGTCAACTGAAAAAATCTTTATCAAATTATCACCAGTATTTTATCAGTTAACAGGTTTTCAATATCTCTTACAGGAACCGATATATTTGAGCTCAAAGTTAACGGGCCTTCTAATAGAGGGGACACGGTAGGCAAAACTACAGTAACCCACTCACCATGACAATTATACAGCACATTCATCCTTGACACATCCTGAAAAGTGGCTCTCATTCGATTTCCCATCGCCTGCGCGTATTTTTGATCTCTAGCGTAGATCACTGGACGATTGGTGTTCACAGCGAACTGATCCACAGAATAGTGCATAACACTACCGTACTCATATGGAGCGGATTGGTGGTCCAGTTGTTTTTCGGATTCCTGGAAGGTTGAAGACAGTGATAACTTTTTTTTCCGAAAAATTGTCGTAGGTCTCTCTCTCTCTCTCGGTTCAACAGAATTACTGTACCTTTGCAAAAGCAAATGTCAAATTTGGATTCACATTTGAGTAGTCAATCGAGATGAACTGATCTCTATCGATTCTAGCATGTTCGTGGAAGAATCCGAGGGTATGGGCAATTTCATGGGCTACGACGAAGGTCTGGAGATTCAAGCGATTCAGAAACTTCTAGAAATAAAAAAATAACTAACATGATCCGTACAACTGCTCTCCAAAGACAACGATTGCTCTCTGAGACTTTGTTGCTTCCCGACAAAACTCCAACAACCGTTTCCTTCGAAAATTCGAACATGTGGATAGACGTAACGATTTTCTTGGAACGTCACGCACGTCTTCTCACTCCAGAATCGCATCGCTTCGAGAACGCGTAGACGGCTTCGGCGGGCTGAAATCGGGGACTTTTTTTTTGAATATTGCCAGTTTGTAGGTTGCTTTTGAGCAACTGAAATTTGACGCTGATATGGTTAGAGGTGTCTGGAATGACATTTTTGGATTTTTCTAAAGTTTGGGATGATCCGGAAATCCAGCAAGCTCCGATATATTTGGCACACGAATTCCGAACAATTTCCAGTCAAATAGAGTTCAGATTGTTCCAAAATCGCTCTAATACCGTGTTTGCTCTAATAGAAGCCTGACCCATATGTGCAATTTGAGCTTAATTATCTCGGTTCCTATTAAAGCTTTCAAAAATCTGTCAACTGATAAAATATTGATGATATTATGATAAATGATTTATCAGTTGACTACTTTTTAGTATTTTTTTATGAACCGAGATAATTGAGCTCAAAGTGAACGTAGCTCAGTCGGTAAAAAATGCGCCGCTCTTAATAACTTCTCAAGGTGATCAAATAGGTTGAAACCGATTTTTTTCGTGTTTTAAAAAATTCAAAATTTAAAAAATGTGCTCAAATATGGCCCAGAATCCTTATCAAAAAAATCAAAACTTACGAAAATTCCAATCAAAAGAATAGGGCATTGGTAGTTTCCATTTTTTATGCTTCTGCTTGATTACAGCTCTCCGACTCCTCGTTTGCACCACGGCAATGTCTCCCTGGACTAGATATCGGCCGATTCCTGTCACCGAATTGATGTCTCCTTCGTTGCGATTCTGGAATTTTCAAAAAATTCGAATAATTCAAGGATAGTCTGAAAGGAGACAGCTTTAGGACTCACCCGAATTGCTCTTCTGCCACGTGGAATCGCTTCGAGCGTTGTGAAGAGGAGCGAGATGAGCAGTGACCAGTGGGGTAGGTGAAATTTCATTATTTACAGACAAGGATCTGAAAGTTTTGGGGAATTTCGGGAATAGTTGAGCATAAGTGAAAAATAAACGAAAAAGGGGAAATTTCATAATATGGACATCCGGACAAACAGACAAAAATACAGAAAATTTCGAGTTTATCAGTAGGAAATAGTCAATTTTAGAGTCCAAAAAAAGAAAGTTAGAATTTTTCCACTTTTCTGAAAATTGCAGAGTATACAGTATACTGTATACTAAACAAAAATAGAGCTTATTTTTGTAATTGACAACTTTTTTGTATGAACCCAACAAAACGAGATATGGCGGTTTAAAATAACATATTTCTAATTTTTGCTCTTTTTTGTTACAAGCGGCATATCTCACCATAATGAAATTTGGCAAGAAAGTTGTCAATTAGAGAAATGAAGCTCTATTTGGTTCTAATATAATTTGAAGTTTTCAAAAGAATTGAAAAATTCAGAACCACTTTTGTAGGAGTTTAAATTCGGTTATTTTGCACTGAAAATAGGAAAATGGGATAGCGCTATTTTAGCTAAATTATCTCGTTTCCTTCCAAAAATGTCAAAACTTTGTCAACTGATAACTGACTTATCATAATATCACCAACATTTTATCAGTTGACACATTTTTGATAACACTTATGGGGAACGAGATAATTGAGCTCAAAGAGCACGTATAGGTTAGCCTTCAATTAGAGGAAATACGGAACAGTAAAAGAACAGTAAAAGGACACCTAGAAATGTCTGAGTAGACATCAGGACAAACCTACACATCTACCAGACGTCTAGGCTGCCAAAAGTCTGAAAACGGTGATGTATGACCTGCTATCATCACCTTGATAAAAGCTTAATCAGATTTGACAAGGTCTCAGGCCAACTCTCGACGCTCTCTTATATACCCCAGAGAGGCGGACGATTTTCAGTTTTTAAAGCAGTTTTTTACCTCAAAAGATGGTTATGGTGTAATAGCCACCGGTAACCTTTTATTCTTCTGCAAAAAGGACACTAGGAGGGGGCGGAAATGATTTTGTCCCTCATCTTCCTCTCTCTTATACAGATAGAGAAGATTTATTTGATTGAGGAGGAGGTGGAGAACATGAATAAGAAAAAAAAAGAGAAGAAGAGGAAGAAGTGAAGAAATACACGACCATTAAAAAATGAAGGAGAAGAAGTTCTTTTCCAAAAAAACGGGGGAGATTCTGAATCATCCCTACCCCATTTGAGAAGGGGTGTTGATGAACACCGGAAGTCATTTGGAGGATTTATTTGATTAGGCTTCTACTGTTTCGCAAGGGAGAGAGAGAGAGGGAAGGAGATACAGATGAGCGGCTAGTTTTTTTGCAAAAATGTGGATATGGGGAGTACTGTATCAATCAGATTGGCTTGTAGGAACTTGTGATGGGCCTCTAATAGGAGTCCACCCTATACGTGCACTTTGAGCTCAATTATCTCGGTTCCTATGAGCGATATAAAAAATTTGTTAACTGATAAAATATATTATGATGAATCATTCCTAATGACATTCACCAAATTCTGTATGTGCGTATGTATGTCGCGCGCCTGTTCGCCCACTCAAAATTAACCGGTTGAGCTGAAACCTAGACAGGTAGATCAGAAATGTGTCTTAGTTGATGCTCGGATTTTTTGTCTTTCGAAATTTTGATATTGAAGTCTTCTGGAGACGTTCCTTGGTTTCACCACAGTGAAGGGTGAAGGGCAGGGTCGGTGAGAAAGGAGGGCTGAGATAATTGAGCTTAATGTACGCTGCCGGCTGAGCTAAGCTTCGGCAGCTATACAGTTGCAAGTAGAGCAGAATCAAGGTAGTGCGGCATTAAAGGCGAGATGGATTTTTTGAAATTTTGAGTTTTTGAAATCTAGAAAATTGGGTCCTAAGAATCTGGGAACTTTATTCCAGATACCGTAAACACTATTATAGAACGCCAGCCAAACCGTCCGCTTTGAACCCATGTAGCTCATTTCCTATAAAAGATATCAGAAAACTGTCAACTGATAAAATGTTGTTGATATTATGATGCACATTTTTTTTAGTTGACCACTTTTACACATCTTTCACAAAAAATGAGATATATGGTATCAAAGTTGAATTTTTGGGTGGCGTTCTATTAGAGTTTTTACGGTATCTTGAAATTTTGAAGATCTGAAGTCTAGCACATTAAAAGTAGGATTCTCTGGAATCACATAGTCTCTAGAATCACATAAGGTGTCTGTACGAAAGTGTGAATTCTTGCGTGACGGTGTTTACATCTTCTGTGTCTATCGTACCTTCCAAAGCGGCAAATTCGACTGTGTAGCTCAGCCGGCAGCATCTGCCGTAAACACTCTACCAGAGTGCCACACGAACCTTCAACTTTGAACCCGTATATCTCGATTCTTGTGAAAAATATCAAAAAGCAGTATACTGACAAAATACTTCTGGTGTTATGATAAACATTTTATCAGTTGTACATTTTTTGATATCTTTCACAGGAAACGAGATATATAGGTTGAAAGTTGACGGTACCCGCAAACTCGATTCCTTGATGCTATTCTATAAATTCGAATTCGCAAACTCTAGATAAAAAAAACTCGTCACCAAACACCGGAAACCCTTAGAAGCAGCGTTCTATGTCTCCAGATGTTCCTCATCAGTGATTTATTTGATCGTCGTGGAAAAGTTGATTTCATTAGTACTGGGAAGGCGTTGGGACGCCAGTTTGTCTAGTCTTTGCAAAAGATAAGGAAACAAAAGAAAGTGTAAGATTTACTGTGTGTTTTGGTTTTTTCGTTCATTTTTTTTTGACAAGAGAGGTTTGTGGGCTTCCGGTTCCGCTTTACGTTAATAAGTTAGATTTTCGGTCGTTTGAGGGTTTTCAGAGTGTAGCAAACTAGAGAGAAATCTTTGTTCTAGAAAAACAGAAATTTGCAATAAAAAAGAGCTAAATCTTCAATTTTCTAGCTGTAACACCAAAGTTCAATTCCTTGTGGGGTCGAAAATTCTTTTTATTTTGTGAGGACGTCGGAAATATAGTTTTAAGGTTTTTTTAGGTTGTGGAAAGGGGCTTTACACTTTTATGAAAAAAAAAATCGAATTTGAGAAAAAAAAATTAAAATTAAAAAAAAGTTGAAACTGTGTCAATCGTAGTCTAAATGCTCTCAAATTTGATAAAAATCAGCCAGAAACCAAAAAAATCTATCGAAAATGGTCCGAAATGGTTTAAAATGATCGTTTTCAAGAAAGTGACCCAGATGGCTCAATGGGTTTTTGCATCAAGACTTACGGTCCACAACACCAAAGTTTGATTCCACCCGGCGTCATTAATTTTTATTTTTGTGTGGACCTTGGAAATACAGTTTTAAGAGCCGTTTGGGTCGTAGGAAGGGGTTAAACACTTTTTTAAAAATCGAATTTGAGAAAAATATGAACATTCCAAAAAAATCTAAACTATATCAATCATAGTCTAAACTTTTTCGAATCAGAAAAATGAGCCAAAAATCATGAAAACCCTATGAAAATGGTCCGAAATGGCTAAAAATGACTGTTTTTAAGAAAATGCCCCAGATGGCTCAGTGGGTTTTTCCCATCAAAATTTACGGTCCACAACACCAAAGTTCAATTCCTTGTGGGGTCAAAATTTTTTTTTTATTTTGTGAGGACGTCGGAAATATAGTTTTAAGGTTTTTTTAGGTTGTGGAAAGGGGCTTTACACTTTTATGAAAAAAAAATCGAATTTGAGAAAAAAAAAAATTAAAATTTCAAAAAAGTTGAAACTGTGTCAATCGTAGTCTAAATGCTCTCAAATTTGGTAAAAATCAGCCAGAAACCAAAAAATCTATCGAAAATGGTCCGAAATGGTTTAAAAGGATCGTTTTCAAGAAAGTGACCCAGATGGCTCAAAAAAAATTGAATTTAAAAAATTAGTTACATGCCTCCTCATTCATGTAAAAAGCTATCATAAATACATGAAAGTTAGACGGAAATTCCTAAAAAATTCATCAATAGAAATCCAAAAACTTGGTCCCATAGACAAGTGATAAGGTGTTAAACCTGACACCTCCCCTTTGATATCTTATCCAATTCCCTTAAACCCATTATCTTCCCATCCTCGATTATTCATTATTTCTTTCCTTATCTATGTCTTTCTTTATTAATGATTTACACTTTTGTATGTATCATATCAAAACCAGAGGCGGAAATCAAAAGATACGCAATTTTTCATTTTCTTCCTGCAAAATTGAGACGGAGGAGGATAAAAAAAATATAAGGAGAAGGTACACAGGGAATACAGGAAATGACAAAAGATATATGGGAAAGGAAATGAAATGACGATGAGAAAAAGAACACATAGGGATGGGAAAAGTGGGTCAGGCATAGGGAAATGAGGTGGAAAGTGCAAATGGGGGAAATGATGAAATGGTCAATATGCACACTTTTTGGGAATCAGTATGGGTGGTCTAGGATTTGACTCGAAATATCTGGATTTTTAGCAATGATAGAGAAACTGGATCAACTGATAAAATATAAAAAATTTGATCAGAAATATTTTATTAGTTGACAACTTTTTTGTATCTTTGCTAAAAAGTTAGTTAATTGGGCTTAGAAAAGGATATGGGTGGTCTAGGGTTTGAGTCGATATATCTTAATTTTCAGCATTGCTAGTGATATAGGATCCACTGATAAAATGTAGGAAATTTTGTCAGAATTTTTTTTAAATTGACACATGTGTTGTATCTATGCTAGAAACTGAGAAAATTGGACTTAAAATGTGCATATCACCTGATCAAGGACAGAGCTAACAAAACAAAGACAACAAATTTTGCTACAATATTGACAAATGAAACATAGGGAATTTTATCAAAAACATTTTGTTAATTGACAATTTTTTGTATCTCTGCTAGAAATTGAGATAATTAGAGTCAAGGAAACATAGTTTCTTGGACGCTTGGGGAAAAGGTTAGGGAACCCGCGCCGCCACCGGCTGAGCTACGCGGTCGAGATTGGCGGA